TTTTGAAACAAAAATCAAACCCTTTGTTAACCTGGGATAATTTAAACAGTAACATCAAAAACCAAACTAAAAAAAAATACAATGGACAGTAAGATAAAATCACCTAACTTTCTTACAAATCTTTATCCATTAGTTTAGTCAAAACCTTAAATGTGATTGATGGGATACGCTTTTTGACTTATTATAAACTCTTTTATTATCAGATACAGTGACGATTAATTCACAGTAACAGCATTTCAAACTGGTGTTACCTCAAAACCACCCCAGGAAAAAAAAAAGTGTCCTTAATTTCCCCAAATCCTCAAGTTTTCTTTTTCTTTTTTTTTTTTCTGTCAGCTATGATGAGACTGTAGCTTATTAAATTCAAGGTAATTAAAGAAAACAACTTTCTTTACCAAGAAAAAAAAAAAAGATATAACCCTGAAAAGTTTTTGTGGAGACGAGACTTGGGAACCATAGTACCAACACAGTTAGCTTCCAGGGACATAAGACTCCTGTTTAGAAATTTTGTAGATATATGGAACTTAGCAAAGTCCTGAAAGATTTAATAAATGCTAAAAGAAACTGAAAAGAAATTTAATGAAATTCCACTAAAATTAAAATAAGCATAAAAAGTTTTAAAAATGTGATTCCTCCTGTTATATAGACTACACTGAAATCCAGTGTCTGTTTGAACTTTCTAGGCATCCTGCCTGACTTTCTTCTCTTTCACATTCCTGCTTCATTTCTTATGGCAGATATTAATGCAACAGGAGGCAGGGGACCGAGGTACCAGATATATCAGTTGTTATATAACCTTGGATAAGAGACCTTTTCTGGGTCTCTTTTTCCTTATCCAAAACATTGAGAGAATGAAAAATTACATGCTTCTATTATTATCACCTAGAAAAGTTTGCCTTACAACTCAACTTGTATCTGCATTCTCTAAATAGCTGAAAGAACTGGTTGTTCTTTTGTAATGTATATCGCTCATAAATATTTCCTTAGTATTGGTCTTCAATGGAAAGCCTATAATCTCCATAGTCCTTGCCTGTCTTATTCATAGGTGAATACCTGGCATACAGCAAGTACTTAATATTTTTAGAATGAGTAACTGAATTAATGAACGTTTATGCTTCTCTACATCACTATGAAAAACCTGAGCTTGCTTCTCAAGTCCTAGGACTTTCTGTAAATACATTTTTCCTAACTGTATTTATAATGCGAATACATTGCACATTCTATGTGTTTTCTCTTTGAGAAAAATTTCTGCTTATGAAAGTATTACTATTCTCTTGAATCAGGATTTGATGTCTCTTAGCAGTTGATGTTAACCTTAATTGTCTAAGATGTCTATAACTGTCTCATTTAAAGATAATATTTTTCACAAGGCATAACTTTAAAAAAGCATATTTAAATATAACTTAATTTTTTTTAGCAGAAATTTAAAGTAGCTTAATTACATCAGGATTTACAAAATAATATGAGTTTTCAAACTGGGTTACTGGGTGATGATTAGGTTTCCTGATTCTATGCAGAATGAATATATGAAAATACCACAAAAGATTTTAGAACATTTTGTAGAACTTGTTTGTAACATTTAAGCATTATTTCGTATGAAAAATACCAGGGATATTGTGTACCAGAATCCAGTCTATACTTGGTTATTTGAAAAAAACAAATTATCTTTGTTTAGTTTTCTAGAATAAAAGTGGCCTTTATGTGAAAATCTCCATTAAGTGTTTGCAATTTTTAGAGTAGTATACTAAATGTTAAGTGTGGTTATTCTGGAAGAGAAAATTCATTCTGCCTTTACATAAAAACCCCTACGTCTTAAGTAATTGTGAGCATAAATTATAAATTTGAAATTAGACACTTTTTGTTATCTATGCAACCATTTATAATTATCTTTAAAAAGTGCTTCTGAATGCTTTGATTGCCAATATTTATTATTTTCTGGGTCCCCCAACCAAACTGTTCATCACTTTCTTAAACTTATGAATTACAGACACTGTAATATTTAAGAAAAAATAAAAACCTATTTAAAATGTTCTTTAATATGTAAATTAAAATATAGATACTGTTCACCTTATAAATCTAGTGCTGTTCAAAACCTTACTGCTCACTAATTTATTCCCTGAAACTTGGAATCACATAATAGAAATGAAACATTAAGAATGACAGTTAAGTTTCTAGGATGGCTCACAAGAGCACACTAAGCCCATATATAGTACTAGAGTACTGACTATGAGAAATAGCAGTTTTTGACCCAGTTCATCAAAGATGGAGAAAAAGCCAGTTGATGGCTATAAAAGATATTTAGCCCTTAAAAGTCCTAAGGGATAGCTAGCCCAATACTTTAATTGTCTACACCCATTTAAATCAAACTTTTCAAGTAATCTTTGAGTGAACCAACCTTAAGTAACAGGATATATCTAAAGCAGACACAAGTTAATACAATTTTTAAAGAATAGAATAACCTATCTTTACATTTACTTTGCCAACTAATGGTTTTATTGTTTGAATTCTCAATAAGGAGAATGCCAGCTAATAGTTTTGTTGTTTGAATTCTCAATAAGGAGAACAGATAGCTTGGCTCAACACATTGGCACATGGAATATGTTGGGTTCTAATTTTAGTCTTTCCACTGACTTTCTTATTGCTATACTTTAAAAGGTCTTAAACATTCTGTATGTCTGTTTCTTTATGAGAAACAACAAAGATATTTTCCCCACTATCTCCCTCAACAAGAAGTTAAAAAATAATGTAAAGAATCTGGCAAATGTAAAAAGACACATAAAAGTCTGGTATACTTTTCAAAGAACTATAAATAGAATTTGTTTTATTGTACCAAATGAAATATTACCAAGTTAAAGCTTTACCATAATAGTCATTATTTTCTGTAGTACAACTAATATAAAGACAACACAGATAATCACTATAACAGTTAACACTTTTGTGTCACTTAGCATGTACCAGGCATTTTTAAAACATTGTATACATCTAAAGCATTGTTTATATCTAAAATCACTAAATAACCCTAAGGTGGACACAACTGACTAGGTCCATTTTACTAATGAACAGACTGAGGCACAGAATATCCCATAGCTAGTTAAGTGGTAGAGCAGGGATTTGAATCCAGACAGTCTGGCTCTAGGGTCCATGCTCTTAACATTTTTGCAATATTGCCCACCTAATGTGAGGAAGCAAAGAAAAGAAAATATATTCACATATTTGTTCACTTAGCAACAATCACGAAAACCAATGCTATAAGTTATGAGTTGAATATTTACATTAACCAAGTTGGGGAGCATTTATTCAAATTTCTCTACCATCTGAGTTTCACATTTACAGATGTCCACTTTGTTGGCAAAGTGCAGAATAGACCCACAATGAAGTATATCAGGTCCTCAGAAAAATGTAGGAGTTCAAGAAAGCTTTAAAATAGCTTTAAGATTAACAGATAATTTTATTGCTAAGAAGAAAAAAAGAAAAAATTCTTAATGCATAATATAAAGATTCTAAAACAGTTATTAATAGTAATATAATTTTATTTTCATTTTTGCCTTGTACTAATAGTGCACCCTGTTTATTCAATGAAGACTTGTACATATCTTCTCTCTTACAATTTATTACATCTTTGTGATATTTTGTTCTTAATAAAGGTAACTTAATCCTTTTTTTTTTCATTTTTTTTCATCTACTATGGTAGTAGATGCTATTAGTAATAGGAGAGAAGGAAAATGAAAAAATTTAGTAAATGTCCACAACATGCTAGGACTTCATACTCTATCCTTCAGAGTCATGACAACTCTGAGATATGCATTCTTATTTTACTGATGAAGAAACTAAAGTTCAGAACCTTAACAGTTCATTAAAGGTTCTATATTGTAGTATTCAGTCTATGCAGACAGTGTTCAAACCCAGGAAGGTCTCTGAAAGCTCTACAGGTTGTCGCCTATTAATAAAAAGGGTATAATGTTTATCATTGGTCATCTGTGAGTAACGGTAATTAGAAGAGTGTAAAAACATATTGATAAGCTCAGCACTTAACTTTAAAAATAATTTTCATGACCTTTCTTTCTCAAAGCCGTTAAGGATGCAACAAAAGAAAATGATGTTCGTCTCACTTTTGTATTCTACACGTAAGTTTTTGGATAGGTGTTTACAAGCAGTGAAATATGAAGAAACACATCCTTAAGTATGTTCCTCAGAATGTTTGTTACAATGATAAAATAAGATAATGTCTATAAAATGTTTAGTGCAATGAGTGGTGCAAAGTTAAGTACTCAATAAATGTTAGTGACCATTATTAGAAGTTCAGAAGAATTACATATTAAGACCCCTTGAAAAAATACTGCGGTAAAAATCTTTATCCAGCATTCATTAATCATAATCATGGTTTTAAAACCTTATTTGATAAAGCAGCCTTTTGGGTTTTTTCAAGTGCAAAGATAATCATACCTACTAAGTTATCACAGAACTAGAGGACCTTGGAATATACTTTGCTAAATGACAGTAGAAAGCTGTAAAATAGAAGAAATGTATCAATCCCTAAAAAATGCACAAGTGAAACTTCATTTCTATTTAAGAGGTACACTGACCTCTTAGAATTATTAGCTAAATTTAGTAAACTGTCTTTTCAAATATTCTTTTGTTTTGAGACAGGGTCTTACTGTGTCACCCAGGCTGGAGTGCAGTGGCATGACCACGGCTCCCTGCAGCCTTGACCTCTCAGGCTTAAGTGATCCTCCTACCTCGGCCTCCTAAGGACCTGGGAATACAGGCACTTGCCCTATGCCTGCCTAATTTTTTGCATTTTTTGCAGAGATGAGGTTTTACCATGGTGCCCAGGCTGTCAAACATTCTAATAAGCTTTCCAAACATTGTTGGTCTATTAATTAAAATTAGTCTGCTAGCTATTGCATGGAAAATGAATCAATGCTGGTATTGTCTCAATTAGAATGTTTTAAATATAAGTAAACAAATAAATAAGCTCCAAATTCTATAGTTCTTATTTTTAGATGCCAATCTGCTATAAAAGCATGGTCTGCTGTACCTGAGAATGCGAGGAAATTAAGTTCAAGATCACCTGATGAAGTACATTCATCAATTTTCAACTTCATGCATTGGCAGAATTCATCAACCAACTGTTACATGATATGCTGTTTATTTAAAGAAGACTTGTACATATCTTCCTTTTCTCTTACAATTTATTACATCTTTGTGACATTTTCTTCTTAATACAAGTGGCTTAACCAATTATTTTTTTATAATGCTCTTAACATTTTGGACATTTCTTGAATCTTCAGTTATTAAATAGATTGTTAATTACTTAATACAGACAGAAACTGGTGTCCAAAAAGGCTTAAAACTTAAGATCAATATGAAATGAAGATAATTTATTGACAGTGTTGTAAGTTAAAAGAAAAATAAGAATTAAAAAATTAAATTTCTTCAACTTCCTCTTTAAAGTATCACTCCAAGTGATACACACTAAGATATTCAAAGCTAACATTATGGCCTAAAATACTTAGTACAACTGAGCAATTTATAAACACTTCTAAATAGTATGAAATCACTCTAAACATAATCAAAATAAAGTTGGCATCTGTATTGCTGACACTTGGTAGCTCTGCATTTCTTACCAATATATAAATTTTTAAATGTTTATATTCTAACAACTGACACGAGTATGTGCTAGATTCATAACAAATTATGAATGTGATACTTCTACTCTCCTTCCACCTTGGTTTGCTCGACATTATCACACTGTTCTATAAGGAGGTGCCAGCTGAGGATCTTCTAAGCTGTCCAGTTGAATGTGTCCCTCACCATCATTTGTTAGGATCTCTTACATCAGTCTAATGCACTTGAAGTAAGGCTTTTTTCTTCATTATTCACAGCTTAGTCAATCATACCTAGGGCATTCTCTTTTGAATACATATAGACATAATTTTTAATCTCCTTCCTTTTCTTTTCTGACTTCTACCTGGTTATATCTATGACACTATGTTGACTGGTTTCCAGTGTCATTTCTGTTAAACGGATTTCTTATGAGATCTGTCACTGTAACCATGATTCTATGGGAAAAAGCATTATTGGTTTTAAACTGAAATAAAAATGAACTTCTATAATACAAACCTTTTATAACTAATAGTAGGTTTTTCTTGTTAAACCTAAGGAACATTAGTCTAAGTTTAAATATTAACCCTAAGGATAAAGAAAAGCTTGGCCTACACAAAGTTCTGCGGTTTGGCTCCTATCTAACTCCCTAGCATCATCACTTACCATGCAACCTCTTGCTCTAGAATTCTGCCACACTGACCTTTGTTTAATATTTGTTGCTATGCTCCCTCCCCCCTTAGAACCTCTGTATATGCTACTCCTTCTTCCCAGAAAACTCTTTTCTTCATCTTGATCAAATTAACTTACTTGAGATCTCAGCTAAATAAACACTTCCTCCAAAAAAAAAAAATTCCTCTTGATCCCACTGAGTAAATTCTCCTAAAAGCCCTCATATTAAATATTATGTACCTCTTTACAACAATTGAAACGGTTCCCACTTTGCATTTATTTGTATGATTATTTCACTAATATCCTTTTCTATCTTTAGATATAAGTTCCGGGAGATCAAGACCTATGTCTATTTTCGCTCACTATCCCACTGAGCACATAATAGTAACAACATATGTTTGTCAAAGAAAGACTCTGGCAAACCCTTTGTGAAAAAGTGATAAACACTGAGTCAACAATAACTACCGTTTAAAGAAATTCACTATGACTTTTCAGCTAAAAAAAAATACAGAGCCATATTAGAAAGAGCTCTTTAAACTTTCAGAAGAAATAAAAAAGTTCAATTTCTGGGTGTAAGTGAAGACTAGATGGTAATTTACATCATAAAGGTACCTGGAAATAAAGTAGACGCAAACAAAACTTATAAAGAAAATGGAGAAAACATAATCTGTATCCTTTGTTACTTTTAGCATTTATATATGATTTATAGTTGTAACTGTGTACTATTTACTATTGATCCTAGGGATCAACCTGGGTAAAAATTTTATTTATGAAAGAAAAAAGAATCACAGTTAGTATTCTTCCATGTTTGCTGCCTTAAATACAGTGTTTTCATTTCCAACTCATATTCAGAAAACGCTTACTTCAGACTCAAATGGACTTTCCAGTCATAACTGCGAAGACCTATTCATTTCCTTATTTTTTGTGCAAATGATTTTCCCCCTTTCTCTACTTCTTTCTTTTCAAAACTACATTCAGGGAAATAAAATTTTAGAACCATAAAAGTAAAGGTACGGTATATTTCTAAGCATTTCCCTAATTTACCAGGCTACTCTGAATTTTAATCCCAGCTTTCAAACTAGTAAAAATAAGCTTCCCAATCCTCTCATCCCATTGGAAGCTTTGTCTTTACCTGAATTACCCTCTTCTGTGACAAACTAGTATCTAAACTCCACCTAAACCCTGATTAACTCAGGTCCTCCCCAAAAGCACACTGTGATTAACTCTACAGAATTCTAATTGCTTTTTTTTTACAAGGCATATTTACACACTCAGTTTAATGTTATTTTACAAAGGTTCTTAAAGTGTCTTTCAAGTACAGGTTTCAGTCACTTAAAAAAAGTACTTAGTCTTCAAACCTTCTGTTTTATTTTTGTCCTCTATTCAAACCAGTACCTGATTATAGAAAACATTACAAAAATAGTACATGATTATACTATCTGTATTTTGAGTGAACATATAATAATTTGGATCACTGATTAAAATAATAAAGTTCATTTTATTCCCATATATTGTATCTTATCTCAGATTGAAATTGTCTACCACTTCATAACTGACATCCTTTATCACCAGCAGCCCAGTCTATATTTTTTCCAGGACAGTGAGAAGTACATTTTTCAGTAAGAAGCAAAATATTTAAAAACTACATTATATCCATTGTTCCTTCCTCAATTGACTAGGCTTTTCACCCTGTTAGATAAGATTAGATAAGTCTGACAGACTTTATTCTCTATCAAGCAATGATGACTGTTAGCCAATACTACATTCTCTTCAAGATATTCTAGGGATATATTCATGTGACTATTTAGACTAGATCTGCAATTTTCCTGGGTCATTTTTTATTTCTTTAATACATAAGTATATTTTCTCACCACAAAATCATTACATGAATATAAGCTTATTGCTACAAATAAATCCAAGTAATGCTAAAGATTACATAAAAAGAATTCTTCAATCTTCCCACATCCCACATATATACTTTCTGTATACAAAGCATGTAATTTGCTACCTATCTTCCAGATCTTTTCTTAATGTATTGAAGTATTTTTATATGGCATATACTGTATGTCTTTATGGTATAGATAGTATAAAAAACATATTGTATGGATGTTAACGTATACATTCGTAAACATTACATACTTATTATTCTGTACATTTTTTACATAAATGAAATCATAGTGTGTATATTATTTTGTGATGTGCTTTTCAACCTAGCTTATCTTAGAGATCTTTCCATGGATTTAAACTATAAATCTAAATTTTGCATGGTTGTTTTTCGTTCTTATCTTCAGATACACTTGATAGTATTTCCCAACTTTTTTTTTTCTTTTGAGACAGTCTTACTCTGTTACCCAGGCTGAAGTGCAGTGGCATGATCTCTGCACTCAGGAGGCAACCTCTGCCTCAGCCTCCCGAGTAGCTGGGATTACAGGCATGTGCCATCACGCCTGGCTAACTTTTTATTTTTAATAGAGATGGGGTTTTACCATGTCGGTCAGGCTGGTCGCGAACTCCTGATCTCAAGCAATCCACCCACCTCGGCCTCCCAAAATGCTGGAGTTACAGGCGTAAGCCACCATACCCAACCCCTAACATTTTATATTACTTAAAATAGTTTATTTTAATATCTCCATCATAGTATTTCTTAATTAAAAGCATTTTACCAGCAATTCATTCGATTTAATATGATTTTTCATCTTTCCTAAATGATCTGTTGCTTATACCTCTTATAAACTTGGATGTCAACAAAAAATACATGTACATACATAAAGAATGTATAGATTTAGTCATTCAAGGTCTAAAATTAATAAAAACTAAAATTTGGTTTTGTAAAAAAAAAACCAATGTAATATAGCAAATTTGCCTACTAATTAGAAAAATTAAACACACATAAAATTCAAGTCCTTTTTCTGACTGGCCCAGGTAAACTGCACAAAAACAGAACCTGTTGAAGAAATGGTTTTAAATAATTCCTAATAATTTTTAAAAATAAAAAACCCTTCTAAAACAATTTACCAAAATACTTAAAACAATAACAACAGCAGCCCAGAAAAGCTATATAATGTTAAATTAAAATCTGTGTTATGTGGGAGTAGACTCCTTTCATACGTATAAGAACACCTGACTAATGTGACTGTTAGATTTATTTTCTAGTGGGCAACATATTGCTCTATTTTTCAAGTCGGGAAGAAAATTTGAATAAATTGAACAGCAAAGTAACACCTTCTACAGAATTTATTAATTTCAAAACAACTAAGGTGGACCATTTAAATAATACATGCAATAATATATGCTGTTAGGTTTTATTATAAAAAGTGTTAAAGGAAAAGACTATATTACTTCTAGTAAAAAAAAAAAAAACAGCTTAATTTTACACTTCTATGAAAGAATTAAAGGTTAACACCTAAATTTTTAAAAAAGTATTTTTAAGGAGTGGTATGATTTAGGAAAGCTTATGGCTAATCAACATCACTGTCATCACTATTAGTGATATTTGTAGCTAGTAAGAGCTTTCTGATACATAGTAAACTGAACACTGTAGCTTTAATTGAAGTTTGAATGTTATAAACAGTTAGATGTCTGGCTCTGGCCTGCATTCTAATACCATCAGCAGAACAGAGATGGGAAGCATAAACAAACCTTTTAACTAGATTACATTGTCTAAAATGGCCAAGAAATCCTTCAGCACAAACTCCAGTGTGACAAATATAGAAGGAAAATGATTTTGGAATAACACTAAAAAAATAGCCTCTGAATATTACAGGAGCACGTATTTGATTTCCTAAATATTTTTATGTTATTTAATACTCATTAATGATACTTTATAACTTTTCAAATAAGAATCCTTTATATCTTACACAGCGAACTCTTTTTAGGTCAGTATATCCCAAGTAACAAAGCTATTTAAAAATCAATATTTGCTTTTATTGAATGTGGAATATTTCCCTCCCCCAACAACAGTAAATGTACTTATACAGTCTAAATTATTATTTTTAGATCCTAATAATATTAAGAATGTATGTATTAAGTTAGTTGATGGCCAACAGATTAGTAGATACTTCTGGACTCATGGCGTAAAAAAAACAGCAGTTGTGAATACAAGGATAACCTTAAATATAATTTAGCACACAGTCAATCTTAAAAAACACTTTGGGATTACTTCTAACTTCTGAGATACAGACATTAAAATTTTTTTTAAAAAAGCTACACATGAACTTAAGTTTTAACATTAGCACCACACAGAAAATTTTCCTCCCATTGCTAGAATCTTGATTGGTTAGCAAAAGAATTCAGTGAAGCATGTGTGTACACAAACTTTTCACCATTTCAAGGTTGGTGACTGATTTACATAACTCATATTAGTCCTTTAAAACAATGTGTTCTAATAATCTACTCAATGACACTGAATTTAATTACAAATTCTCTAATAAAAGGTTATATAGGTCAACTGAAACAAGGACGCAAATCAAAATCTGTCATATCCAACTTTGAATAAATTATACCTTAATGTAAGTTAAGCCTGGATCTCACTCTGTCTCTTTGAAGAGTTACAGTGAGTTATAGTGAGTCATTCCAGCTTCTGACATCTTACATGACATAGAAATACTTCAAACAGAAATACTCTAAGTGTGTAAGACTTAGAATATTTACTTTTAACTGAATTATCTTTGGGTTGTTTAAAGAAATTACTTAAGATCATACTACTGATTATTCAGATTATTCTTATAAGAAAAAAACATTTGCAATAAACTTTTCTTTCTAATGTGTAACAGATGATAAAGAATATTTCTTTAGCATTTAAAAATATTTCCAAACTCTGCAGGTCATTACATACTGGCATAATA